AAACAGATCCAGTGTGCTGAACTTCTTTATTTTTTTATTATTTAAACAAAAAAATATTGACATTTTCAAGTAGGAATCACCACATTTCTTGCTTACATAAAGAAAAAAGAAGACAACATATTATCAGTGTGATGAACACCTGCAGAGGCCAGCTTTCTGAACAGCTCAACTAGTTTGTCCCTTCACGCGCCCACTACACAATGAAAACAAGAAGAGCAGGAAGTAGAATCTGTTATGGCAAAAAAGAAAGCAAAGGAAAATCCAAAACACACATTTTCAGCTGAGGGAGTGAAGCCGGAAAAGCAACCAGAAATGAAACCATCTGATCGAACTAGTCTGTTTTTGCCGGCCGCCATCGCTGTTGTGGTTGCAGTTTGCGCGGTGCCACTAACGGCGGAAATATCTGACAGTAAGTATTGAGCAGAAGGGGGGAGAGAAAGTGTGAGCTGCAGACATTTGAACTTCCCTCTTGAGGCAGTTTAGGGATTAATCTAGCATGTGACCAGTGAACTCAGCAGCCATATCCACAGCAGACATCTGACTAAACGCATTTCAGCGATCAAACCGGTAGGAGAAAACTCTCTTTTCTGTTACAGGATCTGAGATTCATCGCTGAGCTCTTTGTTTAGTATATAGAAGTTTATTTAAAAGCAAATCTGACCGCTAGCTGCGCATTGAGCTTTGATTTGAATTGGGCGAGCTTCAGAAAACTAGGCTGGGACATTTAGCACCAGAACGCTTAAATATAATATAATCTTTAATTTATAAAGTAGGAGCGATCATCATCTGACTTTGATTTTTTTTGTTCTTTTGTTTGTTTGTTTTCCCATCAGAGGTCCATCATCCTAAACACATTGCCCTGAAGATGGATGAGGCGCTGCTGACAGTCATCAATGACCTGGAGACAGATGTGCTGTTGTCATGGAGATCAGAGCGATGCTACCAGGTATGGGATTAAATTTACCAGTTGCTATGGCTCTGTGTGACACCTGGTTGGCCCCCTATGCAACTGTGGACTAGGAGGTCTCTTTGCAGATGTAATGGTGCAAACAAACCCACCTGATACTAGTTTGACTGACCGGACCTTATTTATACCCCAACAAATGCCAGATTTCAACAGGATGGTGAGCCATGGCTGTAGGTTTGCATAGGGACCATATGTCCCTACCAACATTTTTACCCGACCTACTTGTCCCTACCTATGTGAATAACATGTTTATAATTTACAATTTAAGTTGTTGCACAAGTCGCTTCTCACAAATTGTATATTGAAGACAATATTTTAAATGCTCAGTGTCAGTTCCTCTTATAGTTCCCAAGCCCATGTAAATAAAATAAATCTATTTGCAGTCCCTTGAATATGTTACTTTGCTTTGTTTTAAAATACAGAGAATATCAGCATATCAAAAAAATAAATAAAATAAGAGTGGGTTTTACCTCTGCATATTACCTATGGAAAACAGCGGATACATACAGATACAACAGACATATTTAGACTATATTTGGTAAAAAAAACAAGGCACAAATTTACCTTCCATCTTACCCGCTGGTAAGTTCAAATGTTACCCCTTTCAAAGTGTAAGGTTGTCCCAATTTTACATTATTCCGAGCCACTGATGCTCTAAACATTGATAAACAGCATCTAGTGTGTGTAGTCCTTATCAAATTTGTATAAATGTACCAAAGAATGCGATTTTCTCTTTAAGCAAAATGCGCCTTGATGCTTACGTCAAGCATAAAAAAAAATAGGAGCATGCATAATGCGTAGAACCAATGACATCAAACCAATTCAACTTAAGACCAATAGTGTCCCTACCAAAGTTGTGATCAAACCTACGCCCATGTGGTGAGCCGTTTAAACACGACACCAATAGCAAAGCAGACAGTGGTACTTTTAATTACTATGTTCATAACTGTGTATATTCCATTAGACCGTTAAAAAAAATACACTCATATAATATGTTTCAAACCGCAATAAAGATCTTAAAAGAACAATGTATTTGAGTATTTTATTTTTTACACTACTACTTGGAATTATGGGTAATCCATAATTTGTAGATTAAAGCGTAGA